AAACAGTAAAACATAATACAATAAAAATACATAGAAATAAATTTAGAAATTGTTTTCTACACTATAAACTATTAAATATTACTGAAATTAAAGCTACTCTAAATATGTAGAGGGATAAATTATAGAGTAAAAGTCAACACGGCAAACATCGCAAATATCCCCAAATTAAACAGAGGTGCATTGCATCACATGTTTTAGTTTGTTTGACTTTTTTAATTTGAAGGAGGCAGGCTGGGAATCTGCAAGCTAGTTTTAAATTTTATATAGAAATACAAAACGCCAAGAGGCACACATGCAATCTTAAATGAAAGTGATAGGCTTACATTCCTGTATCTCAAAGGACATTACTTAAGCTATTAAATTGTCACATTAATGAGTACATATTCAGCCACACTGACTAATGGAGGAGATCTATAGGCTTAATTTAAGACTCTGTCTCTTCCCTTTCTTCTTGTTATTTGACCAACTCCAAGCTTCTTGGTTTCCCCGTGTTTGCATAAGACAAATGGCTTTGTTGATTAGGTCTCAAACGCAATATTATAAAGCAAAGGTTTCAAAATATTTTGGCCTTAAAACTCCTTTACACTGAAAAAATACTGAGGTCCCCAAGAAGCTTTGGCTTATATAAATATGTACTGCATCATAAACAAAAACTGACAAACTGCAAAAAATCATTTACTAATTTAAAATAACCGAAACTAATTTTATGTTTACATACATAATACAATTTGTGAAAACAGTGGTTTAGTGAGAATAGTTGCATTGCTTTTTATTTCTGGAAATGTCTTTATTGCTGACTTAACAGTAGACAGCTAGATCCTCAGATCCTTTTCTGCCATCTGTTTGATACCTTGTTTTTGTCTGAAGAAAATTCAACTGCACTGAGAGATGTAGCTATAAAAAGAATATTTAACTAGTTTTTTCTCTTTTTTTTGGTGTGGATTTCTCTACCAAAACTGAAGAAGGAAAAGTAGTTTCTAGTAGGGAATATAAGCACATATTATATTTCTCATTAAGTATTTATCTGTTAGAAAACTATGGCCCAGAGAATTGTTTACAGAGTAATGATCTGAAGCAAAAAAGTTCAGAAATAACACAAAATATAAAAAAAAAACTAACCAAAACAAAACAAAAAACTTTTAAAGACTGATACATTGGGGCTGAAAATGAAGTTAGAATTCAAGAACCCATGATGAGGGTGGCAGAGGTCATTTGTCAAGCAACTACTGAGCATCTACATTGTGCTTGGAACCCCTCAGAGCACTGAATACAACAGAAAAGTGAGACGAATCCTTGTGGGATTCACATTTAAAGCACCATCTGACTTTTTCCCCCCAAGAAACGTGGGCTCTTTATTTGAGACAGTGTGGAAGAATGAACAATCAAAGCATCTAAAAAGAATGAACTCAATTAACTCCCATTTTTTTCCCCTCTCAAAAACAGGTGGGAAAGAAAAGAGAAAATGCTTGAGTAGTGTGCTTTAAAACAGCACTTTAAAAAATGACTTCTATCAGTCTAGGTTGAGGAAAGAAGAAAAACAATGAAAGACACATGAGAAATAAGGAAAAGAGATGCAGAAGACCCTGAGTGCTGCCAGGAATAGTATACAGATGGGGTTAGCATGAAAGAGGGAAAGTAACCCGAATTCTAAGTAAGAGAGCTCAATTTTTGTTTATTTTTTGTCAGTTGTGGGGCCTGAATTCAGGGCCTATGGGCTGTCCTTGAGCCTCTTTGTATTCAAGGCTAGTGCTTTACCACTTGAGTCACAGTGCCGCTTCCAGTTTTTTGAGTGGTTAAGTGGAGATAAGAGTCTCACAGGGACTTTTCTGCCTAGGCTGGCTTCAAACTGCAATCCTCAGAACTCATCCTCCTGAGTAGCTAGAATTACATAGGCATGAACCACCAGTGCCGAGCTTAGATTTTTGTTTTTTAAAAAATAAAACCATCTCCTTTAAATTCCACTTATGGTAAATTTCTACAAATGCAAATGTGCTGCTTTCCTATTAGACAACTATACTTTATTTCACTTCTCACAAAAACAACTGCTTTATCCTAATTTTTTGACAATTATCTCCACTTCTTCCCCAAAATGAAGCCTTTTTCTCCTTCGTCATTACTCTGTGGCATTCACTGAACAAAAAGCCTGAGTTGCATTTACAGAAAAATGAGATAATCTCCCAGAAGCCTACTCTCTAGCTTTTGAGTCTTACGCCAATAGTCTGCTCAAATATTTTTCACTCATAAATTTATGCGAACCTAAATGACAATTATATTTTGCTGCCATACAATTTCATATGAACACAAATGCAAAAAAAAAAAAGGTTTCATGTCAATGTAATTGTAGGATCAGTAAACCCCCAAACTGAAATGTTTCATGACCCTGCTTTAAAAACTTCTCCATTTCATTAGGCACCAGTGGCTCATGCCTGTAATCCTAGCTACTCAGGAGGCTAAGATCTGAGGATTGCAGCTCAAAGCCAGCCTGGGAAGAAAAGTCCATGAGACTCTTATCTGCAATAAACTGCTCCCTGCCCCTTCCCCCTCCCCGCCATAAAATAAAAGGCCAGAAGTAAAACTGAAGCTCAAGTGCAAAAAAAAAAAAAGCTCAGAGACAGAGTCCAAGCCCTGATTTAAGTCCCAGGACTGGCACCAAAAAGCAAAACAAATACAACAATAAAACCTGCTCCATTTCTAAAAGTCAGAGATGGAAAAAGCTAATTTCAGTGTTAGTTGTAACTCATATGCCAATGGCCTTTTATTGGTTTTGTGAAAATAAGTGACTTGTTGGTAAGGTCTGATATGAACACACAACAATTATTTACTGATTTTCTCCAGACTTTTTGAACTGCAAAATTACTTCTACATGCTTCAGGACCATTTCCTTGTATGCTGAGTAAACCAATATTCGAAGTTGCATACTCTTCCATAGACTCAATCTAGATAACACTGCCAATAAGAAACAAGAAAGCATTTTACAATGGCACTGCAAAGAGAAGTATTACTTCATATAGCTGAGGTTTTCTTAACACCAATATTCTTGAACCTAACAGGATACCTTCTTCTCCAATCCTCTCTTCCTCTGACCCCTGCCACTTAGGACCACTTTCTATCCCTTTGATCTTGTTTCATTTATTCCCATGGAATGCATCACCATCTGGCATAATACTAGGAAGTCTACGTAACTGTAGCAAGAACACAGGCTTCACCCACAGACAATGCTGGATTACATTCCACTTATTAGTGGTGAAATCAAGGGAAAAAAAACTCTTTCTGCCTCCTTTTACCTACTACTTAACAGGGATGATAATAGCACTGATCACGCTATTATTAAGGTGACTGAGTGTGGTACTGTGTGTGAAAAACTGTAATCTATAGCAGCCAATCATTTTTTTTAAGAAAAGGGAGCAAATACTGTTATTACTCTCAATATCACTATCATCTCACTCTGACTCCGTAGCCTATTTTTTTTAATATTTCCCAAAGAATGCATGATAACATGGGCTATTTTCAAAATCCATACAACTAAAAATAAGCAGATTAAAGTTGCCACAGCAAAAGCAGAAAGAAAACGAAAACAAGCAGTTAAAACTAGATTCCTAAAAAATAAAAAACTAGATTCCTAATGTATAGACATTACAACAATAATGTCCATGAGAAAAATGCTTAGCAACCAAGATAAAGGTTATATTACATACATATAATGTGTTAAGATGGCAAGAAAATATAACTATAAATTAGATTTACTTCAAGTTGGCTTGCATAAACTGTTGGTGTGAACTTCTGTTGCCTTTACAATCTGTCTTTTAGAGAAACTAATAAAGTAAGTGAGGCATTATTATATAAATGGAAGGGACAGCTCTGCTGAAATCATGTAGCACTGTCTCTGCAGATGTCTACGGGATTAAGGAAGAGAAAAAAGTTCCATTTTACTGAGTTATACTGCTATGCCCTGTAGCAAATCTCACTTATATTAATTCTATTTCCTTTAGTGACTGAATGACCCAGGCCCTCTTAAGAAAATCAAGTTTTAAAACCAAAACCACATGCCAAATTTCTTAAAAGATATTTTTTGTTCAGTTCCTTTGTAAAAACATCAGTCACCAATAACATACAGTGAAACACAAAATTGCACCTGCTTACATAATCGCCGAGTCAGTAAATCCTCACACATAGACAACATGAATGCAACATCAAATGAACAGTACAAACACCAGAGCATGACACCTTTAACCATAGCTCTAGCAGTACTAAGAAAATGGCTAAGATGACAAGAAGTTCCAGTTTCCATCTGAAATAAGATGCTTTGTGGCGGGTAACAACAAGTCATGATGCAGAGTTACTAACTTCAAGGGAACCACTTTCCCAAGTCTCAAAAAAAAAAAAAAACCCAAACAACAACAAAAAAGTGTTTCTTCAGTTCAACAGAGCTTCATTTTTTTGAATAGTAAATATCTGATTCACATTTTTTAATCAATGAAAATATACCAATCAAGGTGTATATTTTGTGTTTTGGCAACTCAAAATAATCCTAAAGCTTTTCAATGAAACTGGTGGAGTCAGTCAAAAAATATCAATTCCACTAGTAATAGCAATTTTTTTTGTTGGTTTTTGCTTTTTCAGCACTGGAGAATTAACACATGGCCTCAAAAATAGGAGATAAATGATATAATACTTTAGTCATATCTTTCTGTTTGTATTTTGTTTTTGAGATAGGGTCTCAATAACTCATGACAGGGAAGATGTTGAACTTGTGATCCTCCTGTCTTCCCGAGATTATAGGTGTGTGCCAGCATACCCAACTCAGACTGGATGTTGGCTTTGTTGGGAATTTTTTGCCAGTACTAAGGCTTGAACTCAGGGTTTGAACACTGTCCTGAACTTATTTTGCTTAAGGCTAGTGCTCTAGTACTTGAGCCACAGCATCACTTCTAGCTTCTTCTGTGTAGTTTATTAGAGATGAGACTTCCCTGCCTGGGCTGGCTTCGAACCTGATCCTCAGATTTAAGCCTCTTGAGAAGCTAGGAATACAGACATGAGCCACCAGCACACAGGAGACTGGATTATTTTTAAGAGCTAAAAATTGAAACCAGTAATCCAAAGTCCTTTCTAAAATTACAAAATAAGTTTCTGGTTATATTTAATTAGTAAGAAGAAGAGCCAAGCACCACAATACAATACTTTTTTTAAAAAAGCAAAAAAGAACAGCCATGGATAAATAAATTAGGGAGAAAAGCACTGACAATTTACAAGAAAAAGTTAAGTAAGATCTCTTATCCTATCAATTGAAATTTCTTTTGGGTTTCTGTGATGCTATGTGAAAGACACACAACAGAATTATGCTTTATATAATCAAAGTTTGATCAAATGGCAATGTCACAATATTTGACAAAGATTTGGGTGTAGTAGTATTTATACCATATATATTTTTCCCCCTTAAAATCTATTATTAATGACTAGCACTAACTCATTCTGCAGTTTGAAAAAGAGAATTTTCCTCTTTTGAGGATGAGGGGAAGAAAAGAACCCTTGCACACTGTTGGTAGGAGTGTAAATTAGCGCAGCTACTATGGAAATCAGTATGGAAGTTCCTCAAAATTATGTAACTAGAACTACTGTATGATCCAGCTGTCACACTCCTGGGAATACACCTGAAGGAATCTAAGTCAGCATACAATATCTGTACATCCATGTTTAAGAAGCACTGTTCACAACAGCCAAGCTCTGGAGTCAGCCTACAAGTCTGCAGCCAATTACAAATGTGCCTTTCTCTTGCATCTACTTAGAAATACAAGTAATTTCAAAAACCAAAGGAGTACATTTTAATTTCAGTTTTTTCATGGTGTGTTTAACCTGTTACAAGAAAAAGTATTAAGTTTAGCATGTACTGAAGGGGGTTCAACACCTGAAATTTATGATTCATACATCAGTATACTTTTGGAGATACAAGATTGGAAATGAGCAACTTGCTTTAAACACCATAAGAAAAAAGGCCAAAAGTTGGAGTAAAGATTTCTCCTTTTGTAACTTTTGACTAGATTATATAGCAAAAATATTTATTTTTTACTTCAGAAGAAATTATACAGAAATAAAATTCATTAAAGACGACATAATAAAATTTAAGATCATGAGTATGGAATATTCAGTCATTCTAGCAGATAACACTTTTTAGGGAAAATTCAACAATATGATTTGCATATCATTATTCTTGCAAACAACACTCCAACTTTACACTAAAAAGCTTCCATTTTCTACTTCTCAAAAAGAAGTCTTTTAGTTTTGTTAGTTTTTTGGCAGTATTCAGGGCCTCAGACTTGCTAGGCAAGTGCTTTAACACTTGAGCCCTTTTTGCTTTAGGTTATTTTTCAAATAGGAGTCTCCTGTTTTTGCCCTAGTCAGCCTTGGACCTAGACTTCCCCAATAACTGAGATTTTTACAGGCATGAATAACCATACCTGGCTTAATTTGTCGTGATGACTCAACAACGCTTTTATCTAAGCTGACTGCAAACTGCAATACTCCCAAATCTCCACTTCCCAACTAGCTGGGCACTGCAGGCATGAGCCACTGTGCCCAACTACTTTACTCTTTTAATATCCAACCTTTATGCCATATTTTTAAATTTACCCTAATTCTACTATCTCTATTGTAAAAGACTATTAAAAACTTTCTTTCCCTCAGGAGTCAGAATCCATCGTGTAATTATTCAAAGAAACTAAAGGTTAAAAAAAAATCAAATAGAAATAAGTACACTTAGTATATATGGTTTTATGTAAGGAGACTACATAATTGCTCTTTCTGATTAGTCTCTGGCTCTTAAAACAAAATGGTCAGGAAATTAAACTATTACATACATAAAACACTTGAAATCTGTATCCATTGATGTAAGAATTAAGAAAATAACAGATTATATGACTGTAAATGTTTACTGTGAAACACTATAAAATTGGTGTTATCACAAAGAGAGAGAAAAAAGATATTGGACATCCTAAATAATTGAGGAAACCGCATGATTGGATTATAACTATCAGGGAACAGCAAGACAGCAACAACAGCAACAAAAAAATGTTTTCATGCATGTCACACGGGTAAGTACCAAACAAGCAAACCCCAAGTCAGTACAGTACAGCAATGACTGGAACTTAAATAATATTTTGATACAGAAAGAGAAGGAAAAGATAAAATGTTGACTGCCATCGATGAAAAAGCATTGCAACAATTTACATAAAATGTTACTAGTTCTTTAAAAAAAAGTCATAAGAAAACCAAGCCACAATAAGTTAGTGTTTTCCATAATACATGCTGAATTATTTGATCCCATATCTATACACTGTTACTGTCTTAATTCCTAAATGTTGTGACAGCATATTTCATAACTGAGGTACATTAGTTTACATCTTTTTTATATGTAGTCTAAGAGGGTTAATTTTTCTTTTCCAGTTTTTCATCTTCTTCACCTCCTCCAAAGAAAATCAAAGGAAACATTCCTAGAATGCAGCCAATCGTCACCCCGACAGCTTTGCCCTAAGAGAAACACAAGAGAGCATTTGTTTAAACTTCTAATCTTCCTGGAACAGAAATTCTTGTCAAGTGTCTATGACAACAGACAATTCCCCTGTCTATAAAACTCAACTGTGATTGCATTTCTGTTGATCACAGTATTTAAATATAAAAAATAAGCTACACCAGTATCTCAGAACAGATCAGTTTAAAGTTTGAAGTTAGCCAGGCACTGGTGGTAGCTCAGGCCTATAATCCTGGTTACTCAAAAGGCAGAGATCCTAGTATCCAAGTTCAAAGCCAGCCCGGACAGGAAAGACTGTGAGACTGTTATCTCCAAAATAATCACCAGAAAACCAGAAGTGGCACTGTGGCTCAAAGTGGCAAAGGGCTAACCTTGAGAAAAGGGGCTCGGGGACAGCTCCCAGGCCCTGATCAGGTTCAAGCCCCACAACCCACAAAAAATATATATAAAGTTCAAAGTAACCAGGGAAACATTTTTAAATGTCACAAAAAGCAGCATCAAGGAAATATTCAAACAGAAAACACTTACCAAAAATTGGACATATTTTAATGTTAAAAATAAAAAGGGGGACTGGGAAGGTGCTCAGTGGTAGAGCGCTTGCCTTGCATGCATGAGGCCCTGGGTTTGATTCCTCAGCACCACATAAGAAAAAAGAAAAAAGCAGAAGTGGCGCTGTGGCTCAAGTGGTAGAGAGCTAGCCTTGAGCTGAAGAGCTGAAGGACAGCACCCAGGCCCAGAGTTCAGGCCCCACGACTGGACCCAAAAATAAATAAATAAATAAAGGGGCGCTGGTGGCTCACGTCTGTAATCCTAGCTACTCAATAGGCTGAGATCTGAGGACTGCAGTTCAAAGCCAGCCCAGGCAGGAAAGTCCGTGATTCTCTTATCTCCAATAAACCACTCAGAAAACAAGAAGTGGTGCTGTAGCTCGAGTGGTAGAGTGCTAGCCTTGAGCTGAAGAGCTGAGGGACAGTGTCCAGGCCCAGAGTTCAAGCCCCATGACCAACCAACAAACAAATAAATAAATAGATAAATAAATAAATAAGGCAAGCCAGGTGCCTGTGGCTCAGGCCTCTAATCCTAGCTACTCAGAAGGCTGAGGCCAGCCTGGGCAGGGAAGTCCATGAGACTCTTATCTCCAATTAACCACCAGAAAACCAGAAGTGGCATTGTGGCTCAAGTGGTAGAGAGCTTGTCTTGGACTGAAAAGCTCAAGGACAGCACTCAGGCCCAGAATTCAAGCCCCATGACCAACAAAAAAAGAAGAGGAGGAGGACAAGGAGGATAAGAAGGATAAGAAGGATTAGGAGGATGAGGAAGACAAGAAGGAGGAGGAACATGAGGAGGCAGAAAAAGAAACCTCCAAGTACCTTTCAATAAATAAAAAATGGAATCATTCCATGAATACAGCTTTGTTTTCTGCCTGTCCTTAATCTGAGTATCATATACATAAAATATTTTAAATGGTGAGGTATTATAACTTGCTTCTAACCAATAGAACAGTGATGAGATGTGAATCCTGTGATTACACAACATAGCTAGGACTCCTGGCCCACTACTCCTTTCTCTTCCTTGCTGGCTTATAAGAATCAAATTGGTTTGCTCTGCAAGGGTCTATGCCAGGTACATGGCACACCGCAAGGAGCTGCAAATGACTTCAAAACAGTGAGGGAAGCTGCGGGGGAGGAGAGCAGCCTTTGGCCAACGGATCACCAGAGGCTGGGACTTTTATAGGCACAAAGAAATTAACTTTGTTAATTCCAGTTGAGCCTTGAAGTAGATCCATTACCACTAAACCTTCACAGAAGAACCAAGTTCTGGCTATATGCTGACTGTCATTTTCTACAGGGTCTGCTTAGCAAGCTGTGCTTATTTCCTGAGCCACAGGAAGTGAGGATAAACTTATCTTGTCATAAGCTGCTAAACTCATGGTAACTTTTTTTTACACAGTAATAGGCCTAAAAGGAAAGCTAGGAGCTTGCAATATTAATAGGTTCCTATAAAGTTGATCCTGCTGGTCTTGGCACCACACTTTGAGATCCACTGCCCTATTAAATCACAGTTTCCCATTGTTTTAACTCCTGTCTACCCTTTGAATCAGACCTACAGTGTCACTCCTACTTAATACTGCAATTTGCCTGTCTCATTACTCTCAACCTCTTTTCTGTGCTTTAAAAATTTTTTATTAATGAACTTCTATACTACTAAATATTTTATTCAGCAGATATGTTCATTGTCTCCTTCTCTACAGAAAGAAAAGGCTTATTTTGCAACCCAATGCATTCAGGACTCCTAGACTGGTACTTAGCACATTAGCAGGTAAACAGTAAATAGTTGTTTAATGACTAAACAATGATATTCATTTAGACTTCTTTAACTCCTGGTTTTTAATCCATGTCAAGTCCAAATGCAAGGTGGTTCAACTCAGAAGGTAGACTGGGTGATTGTGTTTCGTGGCCAGCCAGGCTTAAGAGTTTGTGAGGCTCCATCTCAACCAATGGCTAGGTATGGTGGTGTAAGTCTGTCATCCCAAGCCCTGAGGAAAGTACCCTGGCGGGCTTCAGGGGTAAGTACCTGTCATCCCAAAGACATGGGGAAGCACAAACAGGAGCACTGCTGTATTGAAAATAATAAACATAAAAAGGGACTGGCAGAGTGGTTCAAGTGGCAGAGTGTCTACTTAGGTAGAGTTCAAATCTTTGTTGAATTACCATCTACTCAAGGTCCTTAGAAGAGCGTGTCAACTGCCTTTACTGCCTGAGCCATGATTCCCTCTCCAATGCTATTTCTTATGACTTCTACCCATAATTACTACAGAGTTTATTCATGAAATACCTAAGTTTTATATGTTTCTGAATATACTCTTTTTAAAGATCATTACCTTCTATTTGTTAGTCAGAATTCTTGAAACTCTTGGTCCCCATCAATAATTTAAACATCAGCTTAGATCTATCAATTACAAAGAGCTCTCTCCACTAAAAGAAATTTCTTTCCACAAAATGTCAGTTCTCTTATCCATGTTATTGATGTATCCTGTGCATAATTCTACCATCACACATCTACTAAATAATAATTTGTCTACATGTCTGGTACTTTGTCTACACATGTTCTCAAGGATAACTACTATTATTTATTTCTTATCCAACATCTAGCACACAACAGCTATTCCTTACTATTAACTGAGTTGCATTTTTAAAAAAACAAGCATATCTAAAAGAAGAACCAAGAAATATATTATTGTTTTACGAAAAGCAATAATATGTTTAATTGTTTTTTATTAATTGCCAAGCCCTACCTAATGTTCAAAAATATCCCCAATCTAATCAATTTTAGTCTCAAAGTTCTCGAGGACCTTAACTGTACACTGCCATGCTGTATCAGAATTTATGATCCTAAATTATATAAATGACTTACCAAATGTGTGCTAACACGTGTTTGCCACATGTCAACTTGTTTTGGTGTAAGATCAGGAATTGATAGGCCTAATCTGGAAGCCAAAGCTTCAACATAACCTGCAAGTCTTTAAAAGAACAAAACAGGAAATGGGTTAAAAAAAAAAACAAAACATGCAAAATGTCCTCAAATATTAAAGGCAATTACTCTAAAGAGAACACTATCATTTTTACACCATTACTTGGCAATCTGGATATGATACAATTATAAAAATTGTATCAACTTAAAAATATTTTCATATCAGAATATTTCATACATAGGTAAACTGACCTAGAGTAATTATTCTATATCATCGCCTTTAAAAGACCAATTGGAGGTACATAAAAACATTTTTATAAATAATTATGTATGTACTTATTCCAAACTCAAAGCAAAATATTTTAATATATGATGAGTCTTTCAAATTTATCAGACTGGTAAACTAAAAAATACAGCTGAGAATTTTCATACTTGACCTCAAGTATTTTCTTAAGCACACACACACACAGACACCCACAGACACCCACAGACACACAGACACACAGACACACAGACACACACACACACACACACACATCTTTTGTTATGTTTTGGTTTGAACTGGGTGCTGTTCCTGAGCTCTTTTGCTCAAGGCTAGTGCTCTACCATTTTGAGCCAGAGCTCCACTTCATGTTTTTCTGGTAGTTCACTAGAGATTAGAATCTCACAGACTTCCTGCCCACCCTGGCTTTGAAATATGATCCTAAAATCTTAGCCTCCTGAGTAACTAAGATTACAGGTATGAGCCACCAGCACCCAGCCTGCTATATTTTTAACATAATTTTATTTTATGAACCATATAAAAGAAAAAAGCTTGCTAATAAAAAAATGTATGTCATCATCTGTTTAAGAATCCATAAAAGTAGTATCTGCTACTTATCGACAGCAAAAGTCAGCAAATCATTCTTATATATAAAGTAGTTCTTACACATATAGTAAAATAATTTTTATATATAGTAAAATTTTCACCTTTAATCAAAAACAATTGTTTTATAATATAACCTTAAACTACATGATGTCAAAATATAGCATATCATTTGGCTCTATTAAATATATCAGAAAGCTATGCTGTAGCTATATTATTATTATTAACCTTAATACTGGAAACGGAATGTTTATGATGTGTTACCATAAAAGATTTATGTCAGGGGCTGGGAAGGTGGCTCAGTGGTAGAGCGCTTGCCTTGCATGCCTGAGGTACTGGGTTCGATTCCTCAGCACCACATAAGCAAAAAGAAAAAAGCCAGAGTGGCGCTGTGGCTCAAGTGGTAGAGCGCTAGCCTTGAGCTGAAGAGCTGAGGGACAGCGCCCAGGCCCAGAGTTCAGGCCCCACAACTGGACCCAAGAAAAAAAAATTATGTCAGGAATTCAGTGAATATAAAATTCTGATCAATATTCTGGAGCAAAAGAACTTACGTAATAGCTTTGGCCACAAACTCAAGTGCAAAACCCTAAATAAAGAGGGTTAGATCACTTTTCTATGGTGTTTGTATAGATTACAGGTAAGTAGACTTCTACTAAACCCAAATCCAAGTCTCAAGATGTTCTACACCTAAATTAAACAAGGAAGGAAGCGAAAGACAAAACAAGAAAAAGATGTTTATCATAACTAATGCCAATTTCTCAGCCTTTCCCAGGCTCAGGCCTCAGCCCAGGCCATCTGCCACTGGGAAAAGGAGGGAAAGAGGGAAGGAAAGAGAAAAGGAAGAAGGAGGGAGGGAAGAGGGAAAAAGTATCATCCTCAATTGTTTTTTATCATTCCCACCATGTGAAACAAAGAGGAAAAGAATGGCCAAACAAATTATTTGGAAGTCACAGGTATAGCTCAGTAATAGAGCATGTGCTTAGCATATACAAGGCCCTGGATGCAATCCTTAACGTCAATGTGTTGTATGTGTGCCAGTGCATGTACATGTGTAAGTAAAACCTGTGTGTCACCATTTCCTTTGAAAGTTTCACTCACTAGTAAACATGCCCAGTCAATATTATCAAATTTGGGTTTTGTGAGAATGGGATGACAGAAGTTCTTGCCTTAGATCCTGTCTTACCTTTAGGAATATCTGCAAATTTTATCTTCAGTAAATGAGAATTCAATTTTGCTTACAGAGTGGTAGTTTTAAGATACACATCTGCATGCATCAAAATGCTGAGCACTATCTCCTGGTGATGGGTGTACACTTAGGAATCTGTTACACAAATATTTACTACCGATTTTGGTATATTACATTTAAAATTATACTTCTGGAATACAAAGAAAAACAGTGTCTTCTTTATGCTTCTCAACTAAAGGAGAATGGAGGGGGAAAAAGACTAGGTAAGAATACACAAATGCACAAATGAATAAATGAATGAACCTACCCAAGTCCAGCTAAATCTGACACAAGATTCCCCAAAGCAGCAGCTAAAAATATGAAAAATGGATGAGTGACTTGTTACACCAAAGTCAGAAAAGTCAAGATGATATATAACTATGTAATCAATAGAGTATTATATAATAAATGTATTCAAAGCAAGTTGCTGGACAGTTCTAAATCCTAATAGTTCAAAATACAGTGTAAGTCTGAAATGATTATATATCAACTCCACTAAGTAATAAAGTTTCATTCTGTTGCAGTAGTTAGTTTCCATCACTCAAATGATTACAAAGTATTGTGTAGTTTATCCTTCATTTGTTTCAGGGAGTTTGGATACTTGGAAGTTGCCGTACATACAGCTTTGAATTTAAGCCAGTCAGGGAAAGGAAGATATTTTTCAGTAACTCAGCCCTGTCCTTCCTATAAAATCAATAACAAAATTGTTGCCAAATTTCATCATAAAGAATAAACTAGTAATGAGGGAAGAAAAGAAGATAGAATCTCAATCTTGTTTTTTGATTTTTCTCTCCAACTAAGAAATAAATAATATAAAGACAAAAAAGGTTAAAAGGCTTGGAGCTAACAATGAATAACCAAAAAAAATCTGTCTTACAAGCGACAATAGAGAATTATTACTTATAAACTAACATAAAATGCTACATTTATAAAATTAAGAACCATATTGGAAGGAGCTATATTAATAAATTAATCTCAGTGAGTAAATACATTTCAAATAATATCCTCTTCTCAACCTAATTTACTGAAATGTTTTATAAATATATAAGCAATTCTATTAGTAAATACCTGCCATAGTTGAAATTCCAAAAATAATTCCAATAGACAACTCGATATGTGTTCCCTAAAAATATAATTATGAAAAACAATCTTAAAAATTATAGCTGAAGTAACCATAAAACAGCAGTGTTAAAGAAAAGATAAAATGGTTTATTGACATGTTAATATAGCACAATTATATATAAAATATGAAGAAATCTACAAATATGAGGTAAATCACTTATTAAATATGCAATTACTACAGAAGTAATATCAATAACATTTTATTCATTAAAATTAGACAATAAAAATTAAAAATACATGCATACAGAAATCAATTTATCATTAATAATGCAAAATTCAGGTTTATCACAGATAAATGTTTTAAAGCTCTCAACACGAAGGCCAACATGCCTAATCTTGAAGTTTGAATTGTTACTTACTCTATCAAAAGATTAAGAAGGCAGACTAAATCAAGTTCCTAGAGAAAAAGTGTTTCTAAAACTGTCCTAACATTCAGGTCTTAACCATTAAATTATAAACTATGTGATTCACTTGTACGTAGTAATCCACATTAACGCAGTATGCTACAGTAAAAATGAGTACTTAGCCTGATTCTATTTATCTCAAGCCTTTCTACATTTATATCAACATTGCTCACTGAAAAACATAAAGCTCATAAAGACAATTTTTTTTGCTTTAAGGAGGAAGAACTGAAGATTAAACTATTCAAAACAGAACTTATTGTTATGTATTATTATATTAATCTATTTTATCTACAGTAAAAAAGAAATCTTAAAATTTTCTGAATTAATTCAGTTCTAATCCTTAAGCAAGGCTATCATAAGTAGACAATTTCATGAATTCTCTTAAATACATACATTTGAATATGTCTTTCAAATTTTCAAATCTCAATGTTGAGGTGAAAAAAAGAATGGTGTTATTTAGAAATACCTTATCACTTATCAGTCGTTCACAAAAATAAAAAGAAGCTGAATTAATTTCCCTTCAACTTTCTTGCCTCTAGGACTTTTGAGTCCTTCCCTTTAAGATATGATTCTTATTGAATATGGACCAAACAGCCAGAGGCACCAAAGTAGCCCAGGCACTTAGAAGTATAAGCTTTCTAAAGGCATCCAAGGAAATAGACTTCTGAAAAATTAATTAAACAAAAAGAAGAGGAAAGGAGGGGAGGGGAGGGAAGGAAAGGGGAAGGGAGGGGAGACACAGACTCAGGAGGAAGAGAAGAAGGAAGGGAGGGGAGGGCAGGGGAGGGGAGGGGAGAGGAGAGGAGAGGAGAGGAGAAGGGAGGGAGGGAGGGAAAATAACAGGTGTCAAGGAAAAGAATGAGGATGCATGTTTATATGTGTTTGCAAAAATCTTGAAGTACCACTACAGATGAGAGAAACATGTCAAAGCCATAGTGCACAATAATATATGCAGCATCTTCAACAGCAACAAATCATTGCCTATGACCCAAGAAGAGACTCAGGAATACACATATTGTGGTCTAGGGAGACAGATCAGTAGGCAGAGTGCTTACTTAAGCATGAATGAAGCCCTAAATTTGACTGACCCTCAACACAATGAAAAGCCAAGAAAATAAAACAAAGCAAAAAAGAATTTGTGTGCTTATCATTTGGTTGGTTTTAAGAGATGTTTAAAGAGCATGCTTTAACATATTTAAAGAGATGCCTCTAAGGTCGTGGAAAGCTTCATGAAAATTCAAAGATGGTCTGAGGACCATCAATGCTCCAGTTTTTAATTCTGTCCCATATTTACATCAATCAGATTCTGTTACAAAGTGAGGAAAAAATATAAAGAAATCTAATACTTGGTCAAAGGGGAACTTAGTTGTTCTTTTTGTTTGTCTGGCTTGACCTCTAGGCCAGGGTGCTGTCCCAGAGCTCTCTACCACTTCAGCCACAGCTATACTTCAGGCTTTGTTTGGGGGAGGAGGCAGGGTATTACTTAGAGGGAGGTAAGAGTCTCCCAAGCTTTCTTGCCTAGAATGGTTTCAAACTGTGA